ATTAAATAGATCTTTGAATCTATTTTCATAATAAACTTGTCTGAATATACAAATGTTGTTAATATTTTTCTACAAAGCTGGCCAAACTTAAGAAAGTTTGACCAGCATGACTACCATAGCGACACTTATTTTCGCACGGAGGAAGTATATCTAAATCGATTAATAGACATGAACAATGTAGACAGCGCTCGCTATATCTTACTTTGTAAAATAGCAAGGCTGTTGTGAACTTCTTCTTTTAGAGGAGTATTTAATTTTACAAAATGGCTAAACAATAGAATTTAGCTACTAATTTTAGCCAAGTTGTTGGAGTTGCTCTAAGAGCATATCCAAGAGTATCCTAAAATTTACTCTAAAAAAAAGTCCATGTTTTCCAACACCTAAAAATGTATTAGAAGAAAAAAAGAAGGACATCTCCAATAGTTTTCAATAATTCACTCCTGAAATATAAAAGACAATTTTACATCATGAATCCTATACTATTTCTAAATTATTTTAATCAATTTTATATACTCTTTCTCTATTGTACATTTATATATGGAACATTTTCATACTATATATATTCTTTTTTCGTCCTTTCACCTTTAATTGACCGATGAATACACGTGTATCTGCGCGACCGCGACTCCGCGCAAAGTTACGTGTGATTGGGGAGGATTTTCCAAGTACGTAAATTTTAGAAGTAAGGATTAGAAGTTGTTGGAGAGGATTTTTTCTTATCTTGCCAAAAAAAATAAGGGTTAGGAAGGAAAACGGTACTTTTGGAGATGCTGTTACACCGCTAAAGAGAACACCACGTCAGGGCAGTTGTTCACGCCATTTACTCAATAGCAGATTATGTCAGAACTTTGGAACCAAACTCATACACTAATGATATGTTAAACAGAAATGTTAAAAAATGATAGTTGATAAACATGCTCTAATGATATGGATTACTTCTTTGCTGACCCAATCAACTAACTATGGCTCTTGAATTTTTTGTTTAGGGTACCCAACCACGCAAGATTGGGAGACATACCAAGGTGATGATGTGGTGGCCTGAATTGTGCGAGGTCAGGGCCCCAAGGATTGCTGCAGCGCGGTGATGGGAGGCCCTGGCGGAGACTGATGGTGCATTTGATAACGGCGAGCCGGTTGTGGGAAGGGCCTGGCGGAGACGCACGCTGGCCGCTGCTCGCCCTTCCTTTCCTTTCTTCCACGGCCTGATCGAGCGATTGATGATGGTGCCGTGGACCGTGGTGGGGTGGGGAGGAGGCGATGGCGTGGGGAATGCCGAATTTTTTATTTTTTAACCTTTTTTTTTTGAAAGTTTTTCATAAATATGTCTTTAAAGTTATGTTTTTAAAATTTGGACCCTTAGCTCAGCGCCATTATGGGTGGCGCCGAGGTTACACATCTTGACGTCAGAGAATTTGGTGTCTAGGTCGGAGCTACGTTAATAGCGTAGACACTGATATGACAACCAGCTCGGCGCCGTAAATATCGACGCTTTGACGCCAAATATACTAGCGCCGAGCCGGTCTTAAGGGCCCTTTTTCTTCTTTTCTTTCCTTTTCCTTTCTTCCTTTCTCTCCCACTCTCTCTCTCTCGCCCGACACCTCCCGCCGCCGGCGCCGCTCGTCCTCGCCGTCCCACACCCTGACCACCGTTGCCGCTCCCGGCCGGCCGTGCGCCCCGCCCCGCCGACGGGTTCGCCGCCTCATCCCGTGCAGGCCGTCGTCCGCCGTCCCCGCCGCGGCCGCACGTTGCTGCACGTTGCTCGATGAGCGAAGTGAGCGATTCGATCGCCTGCGCCCTGCAGAGTACCCCAAGGACCACCGGTCGGACTCTTCCCGGTCGCGCTCCGACGCCAGCCACGGCAGGGCGGCGCGCAGCCGCAGCTGCGTTGGGAGTGGCAGCGACAGCGGCATCGAGAACGGAGCCGGCGCCGGCGGCAACTTCGAGTTCTGCAAGGAGGAGAGGGCGGCCGTGCTGGCTATGACGGTGGCGGTGTTGGCAGTGGAACTGATGCGACAACCATAGCTTCGTTGAGATATGGTTGACATGAATTTGCTACCTGAAAACTCCATAGCAACTTCCAGTTGTTTGGCTGAATCAGTAACCTTCAATTCTGTTGACAATGTTTGTGGTGTAAACCCATCACAAGGTGGAACCTTCGTGAAGGTATGTGTTCCTACTTGTGCTGTATATTTCTTCAAATCCATGAAAGGGCATGTGAAGTTGCCAAGTTAGTAACTGCAAGAGCACTTTGTTTTGTGGAGGTAAAAAGGTCCATTTTGGTGTGTTGTCGGGTTGATGGTTCACAAAGCAGTCAATTAAATCTTCAAGTTCTTCAAGTTCGTAACTGCATCACATCCTTTTGACGCCTTATGTTTCCTTTTTGTTCCACCACTAGGTTTACAAATCAGGGTCCCTCGGGAGATCGCTCGACATCACCAGATTCAGCAGCCACTACGAGTTACGTAGCGAGCTCGAGCCTAAGCTCTAAATGGCAGGCAAGAATTGCTCTATGAAAGTATGAATGCAGGCACTCACTGTAGAGGTGACCTAGCCCTGTAGTTCTCTCTATTATCTTCGCATATCTAAAACAGATGGTTCCATGTGGCGCCTAAACTATTGAAACCTGTCACTGCTACCTATGTTAATTTTTTTCAACTCAATTTGCGGTTGTTTGATCTTGCTGCATGCCATACAAGTCAATTTTTTTGTCCTGTTTGTAATTCAGTAGTCTGTACCCTGTAGGCTTTGACCTGTTAATCCGCGACTTTCATGTCTACCAAACCATGATTTCTATGGAATCAGGGTATAGCATAGAAGAGGAACCCTTTTTAGGGCTTCCTAAGCTCCCTCTTAGCCCCATGTGCCATTAAGAATGCTGGAATCATCTTAACACTTGAAGGGTCAATCTCTGAAATTTCTAGTAATCAGAGTAATTTATTAGATGGTTTTACTATGGCTTGGATTAAAAAAAATAGTAACATGTGTTTGTAAATAGTGAGATTGCTCCAGAATTGACAGTGGCTTCTCCTGGTTCTACTAGAAATGTACACCAGTTAAAAACAGAACTTTACACATCTGCAGCATTTGGCTACAGCCCAGATTGCTTGCTAGAACTCAGTTTGAGTTCAGAATTGACAGTGTCTCCTCCTGGTTCTAGAAATGTACACCAGAACTTTTACACATCCGCATTTGGGTACATCCCAGTTCTGTCGATGAGAACATTCCCTATTTCCCTATTTGGGTGACAATCTAGTTCGCAGATTGTACAGACAGGGCAAGCACCACATTTCTAAGTGGCCCGACGTGAATGCGCTCACGCTGCATTTTTTTTCTCGAATAATGGCCGACGTGAATGCGCTCACGCTGCATTTTTTTTCTCGAATAAGCAAAAGTTTTACGTATCATTTTATTAAGATCGAGAAGAGTGCGTGGTTACAACGACGCTCCACCGCAATGGCGCACTGGGGATGGTGAAAGGATTTAATCACTGCCCTGCGCTCACGCTGCAGTCAGACAAAGAGCTAGGCTGAAGCTGAAAAACTCCGGAGCTGATCGCAGGAACCAGGTCAAAGCATGCATGGAAGTAGGGAGAGTAGACATGCTTGCATGCAACCGGTCAAAGCCACAAGAATTCAGCTAGGAAGCATTGCCAGCTGATTTTTCAAATTGTTTGTTTAGATGTATGATTCTGCATTTTCTACCATCAATGGGCCCTGGAATCACTAATATTTACATAGGCAAGCCGTGGAGAATGGAACCTGCTCCAACAGACTACTGGCTGTCCTGATCCTTGGCAACAACACTTGTTCCATTTAGTTTCTGAACATGTAGGGCGGTTTAATGAGTAGATTATCTGAACATCAGCTGGCTGCAGGCCAAACTTGACAACCAGCTCAGGATTACACAAAGGCAGACGGCATCCAAACCACAGCGACGAGCAGCTAGCAGTGCCCTGGGACTGGGATAAACATGAACCAGGGATGAATTTTCATGTACTTACAAATTAAGCCCATGCCATTGCCCTGATATACTGCCATCAGCTATGGAATTGGAACAGAGAATTAGAGATGAATGTCAGCTCTTGTTCCAGAGCGTGGTAGCTACACTAGAGGAACCAGGCGCATCACCGCCGGAGCCGGCATGGCTCACGGCCGGTCTTGTGGATGCGCTCCACCTGCCGCGCCAGCCGGGACGCCTGCCGGCTACGCCGAGCCTCCAACCTCACCTGCTTCCCCTCCACCTTGTGGCACAGTGCCGACAGCAGCCTCGCCAGGTCCTGCTTCGCCCGGGCTTTCATCTGCTTTGCCTGTGCCTGAACCTGTTATGTGGCTGCTAGGATTGAGAGGGAGAGGCAGTGACGGAGCTACAGTACCCGCGGGTACTGTTCACGCGAGAGAGGGCAGGAACGGTGGACTATAACTAATACAGGGTTCTTTTCTATAGAGATGACTGATTTGACCCTAAGAAAATATCCTAACCGAATCAATATAATATATATCTTTCCTAACAAACCAAACCACATATCTCTTTCCTAACAAACCAAACAATCTAATCTAATCTGTTCATGTGCTACAGTACCGCGTGCGCCTCTGGGTCGGCTCTACTTGCCATAACACTATTCCACCCCTCGAAGACAGCTCATCCTCGAGCTGTGGCAATTGCTGGAGCGGAAGACCTTGTGGTCCAGAGAAGATCGCCATAGCAGACCTACTTCCTCCTCGAGTTGCCAAACTTGGTTGCTCCATCTGATCTGCGTGGAATCGAATCCGCCCGGATCGAATCCATGGAGCGCCTGCACGTGGAGTCGATGGTGCCCTCCATGAGCAGCCACCCCCGCTATGGGTGCAGCCGAGCGGGTTTGTGCTGGAGGCGTACTCCAAGCGACCGATGGAGCTTTGAAGGCCTGCTGCTGAGCCGGCGGAGAATAAGCGCATGCAAACAGCCACGGCCCTGCTCGAGGGATCGGTGCTGTGGCTCGTAGAGGCAGCGACAAAGGCACCATGTCCACCAATGTCGGTGCATGGATGATCGCCTGCATTGGTGACACTAGTGCTGGCGGGGTTGTTGGCGAAGCTGGTGATGAGACTGCCGGAGTTATGGCAGCCGGGGCCTTCATTGGTGATGTGGCGAACTCCAACGGGGCCTGTGCGGCGGCCGAGGGCGCCGCGCCCGTGCTGTCCATCGAGGGCGACGTGGCGGAGAGCGTCGGCATCAGGCTGCCGCCGTGGAACAGGGGGCCGTCCACCCCGCCGTAGAAGACGCCCTGAGCCCGGGCGCCACCAGGCGCCAAGACAGCCCCGGTGGCCGGAAGCGGCGGTAGGTGCGGCTGGGTACTGGGCGCCGTGTAGATGGGTTTCGACGAACCGGCGATCCAAGCCGGAAGCGGTGACGGCGACGGCAGGAACTTGATCTGCTGGATGGGAACGCCCTGGGATGGCAGTGGCACAGCTAGGAACGAGGTCATCGCAGTTCCGTCGTATGGCATCCCATACTGGTACGAGATGATCGGCACCGTGGTTGCGGCGAGGAAGGCCCTGATGCCCGCCACGGCCTGCCGTAATTCCAGGATTGCGGCCGTCATCTGCTCCGGGGTGAGGACGAGGGCGGCGGGGGACGACGGCGCCGGGGCAGAGGGCGCGATCGCCCCTGAGGACGCCAATAGCGCTTAAATGCCGACGCTGACCGATATATATAAAGCAAAGCGCCGACGAAGACGCTGGTGGCAGCGGGTGGATATGATCGAACCAGAGATCTCTGATACCAGATTGTTATGTGGCTGACAGGATTGAGAGGGAGAGGCGGCGACGGAGCTACAGTACCTACGGGTACTGTTCACGAGAGAGAGAGGGCAAGAACGGCTAGCTCCCAGGGGAAGCCAGCAACTTAATTGTTGCTTCTTCCTTGACTATAACTGATACAGGGTTCTCTTTTTATAGAGATGACTGACTTGACCCCTAAGAAAATATCTAACCGAATCAATCTAACATATATCTTTCCTAATAAACCAAATCACATATCTCTTTCCTAACAAACCAAACAATCTAATCTAATCTGTTCACGCGCTACAGTACCGCGTCGCTACAGTACCACGTGGCCCCTGGGTCGGCTCTACTTGCCATAATACATTCAGTCCAATATACTCATCAGAGTGAGAATTGCTGAATAGGAGTACTCCATCCATGAATTCGAACCAATGCAGCTAACAGAGAATGTTGTTTAGAGATTGATTGAAAGAAGGAAACTCGAAAAAGTTCAGAAATAGAAAAATTGAATGAATGGAACTGACCTCGGCCTGCCTCAGCTTGGCTTCGAATTTGGATTTCTGTAAGCTTTCCCACTCCTGTATCTTCACCTCCTTCCTCTGGTAACTGATCATGCACATGATAAGGAATTAGAAGTCACTCAATTAGTATATGATCAGAACAATTCCTGGAGATTTCTTTACCAAGTTAGCATCAGCAACAGAGATTCAAAGCGTTTTCAATGAAAATTCTTGTCAAGGGGAATTTTAATTTTTTTTACCAAGTTAGCATCAGCAACAGAGATTCAAAGCGTTTTCAATGAAAATTCTTGTCAAGGGGAATTTTATTTTTTTTTAAAAAAAAATTGTTCACCGTGACGCGAGTTTACACTTTTTGGACTCTTCCCGTGCCGTGGCTCGTCGAACGCCTTCCTCTTGATCTCCTCGTCGATGTCACTGGCGCTTTTTGTACGACCCTCGCGCATCCTTTTCGCTTGGAAGGAGGGGTTGTTTGTCGAGCCCTTCGCGTGCGAGCCTAGGTCGCTGGGTCTCGGCAAGGTTGCGCGAAGAGTTCATCCTGCCGAGTGGAGCGAGAGGGCGATCGGAGTTCCTCCGGCTTTTGTGCGACCCTCGCGCATCCTTTTCGCTTAGAAGGAGGGTGGAACATGCCGAGCGCTACCCTCGGTGGCGCGAGCGGTGACATTTCCGGTGAGCTTTTATCGAGTAAGTCCAAGTGGAGGCCCATGCCCCATTCAATAGGGGTCGGCTAGTGTCCGAGACGCGCTCCAAAAAAGTACGGAAGGCTTCTCTAGCGGGTGCGGGGCGTTCGATTGGCCCTAGGGGCTCGGTGCCTCCCTACGGTGGGACGCGGCGGAGAGAGAGGCCCTCTCTCCTTCGCCGCCCTGACGCGATGTTCATCTTGCCGGCTGCGCGAGTCGAGTGCGGCGATCTCGCGCGCCGCGTCCCCGAGCCGGAGCTCCGTTTGACGCGAGAGGAGGCGACGACGACGCCGACGACGCCGCCGCCGATTGACGGCACCGAGTAGAGCGAAATTGAACAGCGGCGTGGCGACGCGGCAGGGTGCCATCGCGCGATTGCTCTGGCTCGCGATCGGCGTCATCTCCGTCCGGACGTCTTGACGACACCGACACGGACACACGACGGCGGCGACGAGGACTTGGACGACAGCTCGGTTAGGCGCTGTCGCAAGGCTGGCTGGCCTCGGACGCCGTCGCGGACTCTGGCGGCGACGCGGCGGCGGCGCGATGGCGGCACGTGTATGGCGGCGGGCTTCTTGGAGAAGATGGGGTTGGAGTGCACGACGTGGCGCCCCGCGATCCACTTCTTCGCGGCGAACCGGTCAGCGGGGCGGGGCGGGGCGCATGGCCGGCCGAGAGCGGCGACGGTGGTCGGGGCGTGGGACGGCGAGGACGAGTGGTGCCGGCGGCGGGAGGAGTCGGGCGAGAGAGAGAGAGAGTGGGAGAGAAAGGAAGAGAGGAAAAGGAAAGAAGGAAGAGGGCCCGTAAGACCGGCTCGGCGCCAGGATCTTTGGCATCAAGCTCGGTGTCAAGATCTATGACGTCAAGATTTACGGCGCCGAGCTGGCTGCCATGTCAGCGTCCACGCTGTCAACGTGTCCCGACCTAGACGCCAAATCATCTGGCGCTGAGATGTTTAACTTCGGCGCCACCACGCTAAGTTAAGGGTCTAGATTTTAAAAACATATCTCCAAGAGCATATTTATGAAAAACTTTTAAAAAAAGGCTAAAAAATAAAAAAATCGGTGGGGAATGCGGCGTATGATCATATGGGAAAGTTTTTGGTGCTGCGGGGTAGCCCGGTGTCGGGAGGTGTCTGGTGCTGCTGGATAGATGTTAACGCTTGGTATTTTTTAGTTGTAGATAGAAGAGATAGAGATAGATATTTCGTTTTAGTTTGAAGTTTATATATTATAATAGTGGTGTTCGCTGGTATGAGGAAACCAGCCAGCCGGTTGGTTCCCCCTCACGTGACACTGTTCATCTATTCAGCCGAACAGTGTTTTCTCTCTCGTAACAAATCAGCCGGAATAGTGTTTTTCAGTCAAGTTTTAGACCAGCGAACAGGGCCAATGTTGAAAAGCAGAAAAAAATCAATGAAGTCTTCTTTCTTATGGATCAAACGATTACTTCATTGATTCCTCTAGTGAGAACTGCCAAATCATTGAGCACTCCTCGCTCTGAAATCAGATCTGGACAGCACGTGGTACCAGAGTAAAACGGGCATAACTCCCTCGTTCGGAATCCGTTTCGGGTGAATGGCCACTCGTTGGAAAGTTAATTTCATAAGATTTTCATCAGAGCAATGTTTTGCATATGTTCTGCTCTAGACGCCTGGGGTAAGTGCATGAAGAAGTGGCAGCCATAGAAGGTGACGATAATAAGATTGAGGATATGGAGATGACGACAATGAAGAAAGGCTTGTGCAATGCTTCGATCGAGCGTACATGATCAAATCGAGAAGTTTAGCACAGTCAATTGTGTTATTTTAGACTAACAGTTTGTTTCTCTAAAGTGACAAGAAGACATAGGCAGCCTTTATGCAACACAATGAATATGGTACTACTACAAGTGAACGACGACGAGTTGCACAAAGATTTCCCCCATGAGATCCTATTATTTACAAAAGCCCTGTGTTTACTAACTTTTGAAGAAGTGCTTTTGCATTGCAATTGGAGAACATGATGGATCAAGGCTAAGCACGGAGGTGCAGGGGCTGTTATGGTCCGGGCGGCCGGAGGATAGCAACGCAACATCCCGGTTACTGTTTTTCTTCCCCGCACCCTTCCTCGTGCTCGCGGTCATCCTCGCTCTCCTCCTCGTCCTCGACCCCGCCCTCCTCCCCTCGTCCCCTTCCTCCACCCCTAGCCACGGCGTGGTAGGGTCTCGCCGGAGCTTTACGGCCTCGACGATGGAGCTCCTGTGAGACCCTACCGCGCCCGCTGCGGCCTCCTCCTTCCCCTCCCCCCACTCCCACCGCCTATAGCCATGTTCGCCGGCGAGCACCACCATGAAAGCCCCCGGCCCGATCTGGCCTAGCCGCCGCCGCCGCCAGACCTTAACACCCCTGCCTCCCGAAGCCCCTTCTCTTCTAAGCCCGCCGGAGATGAAGACGAGGGAGGGAGAAAGCTGTCGAAGATGTGGATGAAGAAGGCAGAGAGCACGTCAACTCAGTCATACATATTACTCTATCAAAAAAAAACTCAGTCATACACTGGCCCATATACTGAAGAGGACCATCTCCGTCATGGGCCGTCTACAGCCAGCCCAATAGTCCACCTTCGTCTGGCCCATCCCCGGAAGCCGACGGAACGGTGAAGCCGTGAAGGCGAGGCCCCCTCATCCTCGACGCCACTGCCCACTGGGTCTGGGCAGGCGTGCAGTGAGTGGGCTTGTAAGCTTGTTCATCCCCTCGTCGCCGTCGCGCTCGCGCACCTCCTCCAGCCGCCTCGCCTCGTCCGCTGACCGCTGGGGCTTGGACACGGAGCAGCAGCGCCCCCGCTCATGCCGCTGCGGCGCGGGGCCCCTCCCTGCCCGCCGCGGGCTCTGGCCGGTGTGGTGTGTGGGGGCGGCGGCTCCGCGGGCGCGGGGGGCCGGTGCTGCGCCCCCATCCGCCGGGCATGCTTCCTGCGACCGACCAAGGAGAAGAGCGGAGGGGCTCTCGGGTGAGCTCTCGCCACTTCTCCTCATGCATGTGCTCTCTAAACAGTGGTTGCTGAACTTTAGCTCGATTTCTATGTCCCCACCACAAATTCGATTTGATGCCACACCCAACTAGTAGTCCCATGATTTGACCAATTTGTTTATAGAAAAAAACAACAACAACAATAAAGCCTTTAAGTCATAAATAAGTTGGTGTAGGCTAAAGTTAAAACCCAACGGAAGCAATCAAGGTTCAGGCACGTGAATATCTGTTTTCCAAGCACTCCTATCTAAGGCTAATTCTCTGGGTATATTCCATCCTTTTATGTCTCATTTTATTGCCTCTACCCAAGTCAACTTCGGTCTTCCTCTGCCTCTCTTCACGTTATTATCCTGGCTTAGGATTTCACTACGCACCGGTACCTCTAGAGGTCTTCGTTGGACATGTCCAAACCATCTCAACCGGTGTTGGACAAGCTTTTCTTCAATTGGTGCTACCCCGAATCTATCACGTATATCATCGTTCCAAACTCGATCCCTTCTTGTATGACCGCAAATCCAACGTAACATACGCTATTTCCACGACACTTATCTGTTGAACATGTCGTCTTTTCGCTGCACCATACAACATAGCAGGTCTAATCGCCGTCCGTTAAAACTTGCCTTTTAGCTTCTGTGGTACCCTTTTGTCACATAGGACACCAGATGCTTGGCGCCACTTCATCCATCCTGCTTTGATTCTATGACTAACATCTTCATCAATATCTCCGTCTCTCTGTAGCATTGATCATAAATATCGAAATGTATCCTTCCTAGGCACTACTTGACCTTCCAAACTAATATCTTCCTCCTCCCGAGTAGTAATGCCGAAGTCACATCTTATATACTCAGTTTTAATTCTACTGAGTCTAAAATTTGTTTATAGAAAACACACCTGAAAATTTATGTGACCTCTGTAAATTTTTAGACCAAAGACCTTTTGGTCCTGCTTTATACTCCATTCGTTCCAAATTATAAGTCGTTTTTGGTACATAGATTTTGCTATTGTATATAGAAAGCAACACAATATGTCTGCAGGGATTACCAGCTTACAAAAGAAAGCATTGAAGGTGTTTTACATACCCAAGCCTCTACAAACCCGATTACATGAAACAGAAGTCTACAAACACTCCCATAAAAAAAAAGGTCTACAAGCACCAACATCTCACCAAACGAAGCAGAAAAAGACTATCCAGTTGGGGAGTAAACAAGTTTCGCAGATGATGACCTCTGCAAATTTGATAAGCTCATTGCACTAATATGGCTGTTTCATATCACCAACTGTATTGTTTACTGGAAGAACTTGGAGGTCATAAAGGGCAGCAACAGCAAGAAGAAAGTTTCCGCACAACAACAACAACAACAACAACAAAGCCTTTAAGTCCCAAACAAGTTGGGGTAGGCTAGAGTTGAAACCCAACAGAAACAATCAAGGTTCAGGCACGTGAATAGCTGTCTTCCAAGCATTCCTATCTAAGGCTAAGTCTTTGGGTATATTCCATCCTTTCAAGTCTCCTTTTATTGCCTCTACCCAAGTCAACTTCGGTCTTCCTCTCCGCCTCTCTTCACGTTATCCCGACTTAGGATTCCACTACGCACCGGTGCATCTGAAGGTCTCCGTTGCACATGTCCAAACCATCTCAACCGGTGTTGGACAAGCTTTTCTTCAATTGGCGCTACCCCTAATCTCTCACGTATATCATCTTTCCGAACTCGATCCCTTCTTGTATGCCCGCAAATCCAACGCAACATACGCATTTCCGCGACACTTAGCTGTTGAATATGTCGTCTTTTCGTAGGCCAACATTCTGCACCATACAACATAGCAGGTCTAATCGCCGTCCTATAAAACTTGCCTTTTAGCTTCTGTGGTACCCTTTTGTCACATAGGACACCAGACGCTTGCCGCCACTTCCAAATATTTTCTACAAAATGACTCTGTACTTTAGATGATAGTTGAAGTTTTAGAGCATCAGGGTAGCAATTTTCAGTGGGCATCTTGATTTATTATTAGCACCTTGTGTCAAATGGTGACTTGCCATTTATTTTGGGTTTTTGACCTAAGCTTGGTATTTTACTCCATATTATGAAAATCGGCCAGCGAAATCACATAAACCTTCATAAGAAATTCCTTTTAGGTTGACCATAGTTAACAAAATAAATAAAATTGATGGCATTCATAAACCTGCATTAAGAAAATGTCAAGAAGTAAAGCATTATGAAATCTAGATTACAGTGATAGGCAGTCTTGCCTTCTTTTATGGATTTTTTTGGTGGTTAGTTTGTTTGCTACCAGGGGCAGAGCTTTGTGTAGACCAAGGTGGGCCATGGCCCCCTTTAACCTATAAAGTTTGTTAAACACTTAATTCCACCACTTAGGTGCGGATGAATTTCTAATCTATTCCCCTTTAGTGCCTCAAGTTTGATTGGCCCCCCAACTCCACCACCGGTAGCTATTATATGCTTAAAACAGTTTTAGATAAAGAAAATGAAAATAGTAGAAGCAACTTATTTCTAAACAATATATGCTTTGGGGGATGCAATTTCGACCACAAGGATGAAAACATTGATGCATTTTGGTTTTCTTATTTGCAACAACTACAACTTTTAATCAAATCATCAATGTCTAGAATTTATTTTGAAGGATATCTAAAGCATGGAAGCGCAACTCAAGGTTTAGTGGTATTATTTTCACATTGCCAATTAAATAGTCTTTTTATGCATTCGTGTTAAAAGTCATCAAAGTTTGCTTGAATCACAAACTGTGACGCAGCTTTGACAAAGTATCAGTTTAGTTTTCATCAATTGTTACCTACTGTTACCTACTCAGTTTATTTTCACTTTATCAGCTTGTTAGCTTAAGCACCAAAGGTTTATAAATTAGCTTGAGACAAGAATATATGGTTCCCTTTTTTATCACATTCTTGTGGAGAATTTTTTCTCTACCCCTGAGAAGCATTAGTACAATGGTTTCATACCTCTACTTTATCCTAGGTACCAGATGAAAAACTGCAGATGGAGGCCAACTTTTGCCTTGGAGACTGGTGGGCCATCTAACACTGATGGCCAAGACTTTGATGAGGACAGTGGTTTTCTTGGTAGGACTAGACTGGGAAGACTCATCCAAGCTGCTGCAAGGGAGCTACTTGACAAGCTGAACTCTGCCAGAACGAATTCACCAACAAAGATATTCCTTGTCCTCCTTGGTTTTTACACAGCCAATGCCTTGGCAACAATACTAGGGCAAACCGGTGACTGGGATGTTCTTGTTGCTGGTGTTATAGTGGCTGCCATTGAGGGAATTGGCATGCTCATGTACAGAAAACCAATTACCAGGCCTCCTGGTAGGTTTCAGTCTTTGATTTCAATGGTGAACTACTGGAAAGCCGGTGTATGCCTGGGCCTTTTTGTGGACGCCTTCAAGCTGGGTAGCTGAGTTTACACAATCATCTTCTGCTATCTTCTTATAGTGATTTTATTTTTTGGTATATTGGGATCAAAGCAACGCCAGGATATGGTTCCATGATGGCCATTGCTCGTTGCTCGAATTCTAATAGCTGCATTTGGCTCAAATTCTGGGACCAATGGCTGCTGAGGTATTCGATTTTTTCTAAGTTAATGAAGATGTTTGGAGCAGATATTATTCTGAGGTGACAGTATTCATTTTTCCAGAATCAAAGGCCTTGTTTGGTAACTACTGCAGGCTGTTAAGCACTGTTTGGCCTGTAAACTGTAGATATGCTGTAGTTTTTCTCACCTCCATGTTATTTAACCCTAATATGCATCTATGCTTATTCAGAGAAAAATAAAAAAGAGTTGCTTCTTTAAAAAATAATGGTGTTTCTTCCGCGGAGATATGGTAGTTACCTTGTAATAGTTTGTGCATGTCAGCATGTGATGAATTGGGATACTTCTTTGATCAAGGATTACTCTATATCTTGCAATATATGTCACTGTTTGCTGGTCATGTCCCAATGGCTTTTCCTGTAGTAGGTTAATTGTTACTAAAAAAATGCTTTCGCTGTGTACTCCTTTTAATCGTGGAAGCACTGAAGTCATTCTACATGTTGTCTAATATGAGTGTGCGAAGTTGTTTTCCTTCTCAGTGGGTGATGTTATTTGTTACGTATACAACCAATTTGAACAACTCTGCAACTCAAATAGTTCAGAACATTTGGATGATTGATTACTTATGGTCAGCCAAATCATTCTAACATGGTCAATTGGATAATTTATTACGTATGATCATTGGGATCAAATCATTCTGTACATGAAGCATTTCTCTCCTCATTATGTTTACAGATAGATTTAGGTGCTACGAGTGGGTTCACTGGGTTGTATATGAACAGCCCGTTCGCTGCAGCCGGCAGCTGCTGCTGCAACTTCTGAACTGCACAATACTGTAGAAGAGACCTACTGCAGCTGCAAACCACAGCAAACAGGGCCAAAGCATTTCCCTTTTCATTATGTTTATAGATTATTATTATTACATGATCCTGTTTATCATTAGAGTGCACGAGCAAATTAAGTTTCAAAATACAAAAGAGTGAGGAAATTAGCATAATCTAGGGCGCACGAGCGGCTTGTAGAAACAACAAGTAGGCGAGCAACGTCACCTATCCTTTCTCGGTTTCTCCCTCCCTCTTGTAGCAAGCATCCCATGTCACTGTTAGCGACCCAACCCATAGCCACCGGAAGATGAGAGCTCCAGCTCCAGCTCCTCTTCCCGCGCTGCTCTCCCGCTGCTCCTCGCCGCCCTCCTCGGCCCCGCCGCGCCGCCTGCTCTCCTCGCCCCGCACGCCGGCCGCCTGCCGGCCGCCTCCGGCCGTCGCGCGCTCTGTCTCCGTCTCCGTCGATGCGCCGGCGGCCGCCGCGGAGCCGGCTGTCTTGGGCGCGCCCTCTGCGACGCTGCGCCGTCGCCTCATCCTCCTCCGCCACGGGGAGAGCACCGCCCGAGGCCGCTCCACCAGAGGTATGTTCAAACGGCGGCGTCCAAGAGTCCCCGTGTGTCGATTTAATTTACCCTGCACTGCAAACTGGATAAGAAGGAGCATTGGATGCAGAGGAATGGTGGTGCTTGTTTGCCGTTTCTACTAACATGTTGTAGCTGTTGCCTCTAGCTCTGCGTTTTAGACTAATTGATTGAATGTAGTGGTATAGTGCTGTTATGATCTGACCCAAATGTGTTTTCCTTTGTGGTTGCTGGCCCAAATATGTGTCCTGATGTCAGATCATGACAGACCTCTAAGCAAGGCTGGGAGAGCTGACGCAATCAGCATTTCTAATAAACTCCAACAAATGGGTTGGATACCGGAGCTTATCCTCTGCAGGTGTGTTCCAAATTCCAATTTATGTAAGACTGAATCAATTATCATGAGTTATTACCATATACCAATATAAATTATGAAAGCTTCATGGTGCAATTAGTCTCTGTTACCTAACTGAATGGGTTTGCATTTGTGTTTTTTTTTGTTTCATTTTGCTTTTGCAAATTCTGTTGTATCTGTTCAGTTTTCTAATGTTTCTTTCCTGAAAAGTAGTGTCTCTTTATTGACTCAGTTTTTATATCAGATTACCACCTTCTGCTTCATTTGTTTTGCTTCATTTGTTTTGTTGTTCTTTCTCTCTCTTTATTTTCCTATAGGAACGGTTATCCTGCATTTGCATACGTATATATTGGTGTTCCTATGTCTGTGTCTCGTCAAATATATAGTTGCCTCTATTCCTTTTTTGGTACCGTGTCCGTGTTTAAGGGGAATGACCCTGCAAAGGCTATTCTATTACTCATCATCTTGCCTTTCTGGCCACAGTTGCAACTGGTGCTTTTAAGAGAATGAACACTTATAGAATTCAATATCTCTATTACAATACCATCTTTCTTTTCTGGTCATGTTATTTCTTTCTCGAATGAAATTTTATTTGGTCAATTAATATGCCTAGCAATAGAATGTGTGACTCATGTTATCGTTGATAATAACTCTCCTTCAACACAGTGATGCAATGCGTACAAAGGAAACTCTTAAGATCCTGCAAGAGCATGTCCAAGGATTGTCTGAAGCAGTAGTGCACTTCATCCCAAGTTTCTACTCAATTGCGGCAATGGACGGCCAAACTGCAGAGCATTTGCAAAAGGCGATTTGTGAATATTCGAGTGATGAGATCTTAACTGTGATGTGAGTCTTTCACAAGTTTTCGTTGATTATCATTTGTTTTCAATGGATGCCTTTGTCTTCCTATCATTTTCCCTTAAGATCTGGGATTCGTATGTATCTCATTGCCAGATGTACATCATGACACTTGTTTAGAATAATAACTACTCAGGTGCATGGGGCATAATAAAGGATGGGAAGAAGCCGCCTCTATGTTTTCTGGTGATTCAGTAGTGCTTGAGACATGTAACGCTGCGTTGCTAGAAGCTGCAGGCAAATCATGGGTTGAGGTTAATATTGGCCTTGTCCAAACTAAAGCATGCTTCTTTTCATCTTTTCCCAAATATATATAGTTTTATGTACCATGCATCCAGCAGAATTTACCGAATTTGTCCATGACATGGTTTGCAGGCATTTTCTCTGGCTGGTCTGGGTGGATGGAAGCTTCATGGGATCGTAAAGCCATGAATTGTTGTAACTAAAAGCTAGGTGTAATTTTTGTAGCTGTTTCTTAATTCTCATTAATTAACCTTTGTGTAGTTGTTTTTACATGCCACTGAAGCCGTCAGTCTGAAGGTATTAACGTGGATAGATAGATGAGATTAGTGAATTCTTCCACGGTCCATGAGCTCTGTCGGTTCTGCAAAAGATGAATAAGAAAACACAAATGAAAACTGAATACCTTACTATACACATGAAGCAAAACTGAATACCTTGCATTCTCACTCCTTTCACCCAGGAAACTAATGATAAGAGACTAAAGATGCCACCAGTGAAATTTTAGAATTTGTCGCGCCAAGTGAATCTGACGCTGTTGAATAAAAAAACATAAAGTCTGCAACACTGATGGTAAACACAAATAAGCAAATAAGCAATTCTACTAGAAACTCGATTCGACTTGTGAACGAATGTGCAATTCATCACGAGCACTGAGTGGGTCGGCGGTCTCTCCTCTTCCCGTGAGAAAGGTCCGAGTGATGTGTTTCCCAGGAAAGACGGCCTTCAAGGTGGCACGTTGATATCGATATCTATAACTCCTATAAAGCAAAACTCCACTAACCTAATTCTTTAGCATCTCCTTAAGCCACAACTCCTATAAAACAAAACCCCACTAGCCTAATTCTCTAGCATCTCCTTAAGCCACGTCATCCACTTCCTCTACCAAAATTAACTAGCATCCTTCTACCAAGTTATCTCGTCGGAACCAGAAGAGACACCGACGGGCTCCTCGCACAATTGATGCATCCGTTCAGGTCCTCAGAACTTGAAGAGACCGATTGATGCATCAGAAACCGCCGCCAAGCAACCGATCGGTCGGCTGACTCTAATATTTATGTCATCCCCGGCCAAGCCTTCTCGAGGCAACGACAGTCGTCGAGAGTGTTACCCAACGCAGCGCGCTTGGCCGAGGCTCAGTTTCCCAGATCGACGGAGACAGGCTGACCGACGATGGCGTCGTGCGGCATCATTTTTAATTTTGCAGGGCCGGATTGACCTCCAACTCACGTTGTGCTTGACAGGGGCGACGAGAGCTTCGATCGGTGTCTGCCCAGGCTCCACCGGTGGCGGGGACGACGGGGCACCGATTATGGGCTCTCCAAGACCTCAACCATGTTACCGGTGCCAATGCCGAGAGGATGGGTGAGGAAAGGGGAGAGAGACGCATAGAAAAAATAGTATTACAGGACCACGTCTGGGGCGGTGCAAATCAGATACGGAGTAAGACGTTTTTTTTTTTACTTTTCTCTGAACCACGTGGAGATATAGCTTCGAGCTTATGGTTGGACAGGTCTTTGGTCTTCACGGAGAAACTATCCCTTCTTTGTTATTGCAGCAGTGAAATCTCTCTTTTTTTTATTTAGTTACACACGAGAATGTGTTCTAACACACAGGTTTCCACTGCTCCGAATTCGTTGTGTTGTATTCTGAATGGCTATCCTTTCCGTATGTTTTGTTCCTAACTTTGCTTTTGCAATAGAAAAGTACTACTTGAGTCATGTTTTGTTCCTAACCTTGCTTTTGTCAGTGCTTACTACATATGATTTTGTATCTTCTATATATTCTTTCGACTTTTACATATGACAAAATGTATATGTTCCATCGAATGTTCAATTAGATATATAATACTACATGTATGGTTTATGTGTGGTCCTAGACAAACTATATAGAAACCCGTGGTGGATAGACGAATCTCTAATCCTATGACGATTGTTTTACCCTCATAGCGTCATTGATATATGTGTCTTCTTTATGCCTTTCGGTCGTAGTGATTGCTTCTCCTTCTGTGTAAGCCTCCCCAAGATCATCTTCTTCGGCTGGGATGGCTTCTCAACTTGACGTGATGCACATATGAAGAGGAGGTCCAGTTGAATATGTGGGAGGGGAAGAGAGCTTTGGTTTCAATGTGGGAGAGGTGGGGTGATGTGGAGCACGCAGATACGACAGATCCACCACGAGCTTAATTTGTGGCCAATTTTGTGGATCAATGGCTGATTTGTAAAGGAAGTGGAGGGGGATTGAAGGACCATCGATGAACAGAATGGAGATGGTCATATAGCGAACAAGTGGAAGAAATTGCATGGAAAAGGAGAGGAGGATTTTTTTTAATCACCTTGCCACCCAACCATCCAAGGTCTTATTTTAATGCGCATGTATTCATTTCAATCCACATATATTGAAGTAGATTGGAGTGAAATTAAACTAAATTCTATTTTATTCCACTCCAACACACATGGATTGATATGAATACACATGCATTAAAAAAAAAAAGACCGAAAGGTACATCAACATTGCTCCTACAGTTCGGCATGCCTGTTGCAGCTACCCTAAGGTCACCCCTAAAGTTTGCTACGTAGGACTTCATTAAAACCTTACTTTTCTCACAGTTTTGGTGACCTAATATACCGATAGTTTTTTTTGAATTTTGCTTTTGAGCACTTCAAATTTTTAAAGCTAGAAGATGACAAGTTTTTGAAAATCTTGGAGTAATGAAGCTGGAGCTGTGCACATAAAAAACATAGTTATCCTATTAATTATTTTTTTGGATGTAGTGTAGCTATGGTTAAGTTGTTTGTGCATAGTCAAATCTGCCTATATATCTGAATTGAAGTTCACGTAGTCTTATTATCAGGGATCAATACTAGGGTACCCGAAGAGAAGAAGCTAATGACCATCAACGTTGATTCGTCCGCGCGATCAAGAGCGCGACTACACCGCTTGCCGGGTCCCGCCTCGTCCAGCCACCGAGGCGGTGGGCCCTGCCCCGTCTGACCCCCGAGGGTTGGCTCCGCCTCGGTAGGTGCTGTGGCCGTGGGCCTCGTCTCGCCCGACCCTTGAGGGTTGGCTCTGCCTCGGCTGAATCCCGAGGGATGGCTACGTCTCGCCCGACCCCCGAGGGCTGGCTCCGCCTCGCCTGACGTCTGAGGGCTGGCTCGGCCTCGCCCGACGTCCAAGGGCTGGCTCCGCCTCACCTGACGTCTGAGGGCTGGCTCCGCCTCGCCCGATGTCTGTGCATGACTCCTTTATAACGACGCGCGCAGATAAGGCAGGGCACTCAAGTCAACCGCAATACCGAGGACCGTACCCTGCACACCTACAGGAAAGTACCATCATGCCATGTCAAAAGGGTGCTTTGTGACCTTCCAGGCATGTCAGAGCCCAAACAGTGTTGTAGGCATCGACATTTGCCTTACAGTGTTGTGGGCACCGTCATTTGCCCTCGGGCTTAGATCCTTACGGAAGCTCACGATAATCGCTACGGTCTAGAAGGAAACTCGCATCATCCACAATAACGAACGTGCGGTTACTGTGCTGCCTGCTCCCTATATGGCCGTTGATCAGCACCCTGGTCCACCGCGCCGCCCGTCGGGGTGGGATGGGACGTGACAATTCGCTGACAATGCCAGGACATGGCATCGTCAGCAGACAGACACCCAGCGCGACCCTATCAGGGTCACGGACATGCGCCCAGCATGGGGCTATTCCTACCACCGCCTGCCATGTCAGCGGGGCCCGCACAGAGGAAAAGGAAGACCCGGCATCCTTGAAGGATTTCCTTTGCCTCTGGTTTTCTTCTTTTCTCCCATCTGTAATCCCTGCTCTCTCATGGCCTATAAAAGGGAAAGCAGGGCACCCCACTAAGGGGTTCGATTAACCACATCACAGCAGAACCACTAGCATCGAACCTCGAACATATAGCTGAGCAGCAACCAAGCTCTCAACACCCATTCGACCTTTCCATCAGAGACTTGGGACCTATCCCTCTCTCGCTCGTTTGTAACCCCTACTACGAACTTTTCAGTGCTAATAACACGAACAACAACCACAAACTAGACGTAGGGACATTTTGCCCGAACCAGTATAAACCTTGTGTCTTTTTAGCACACCATCCGGGCCAGATGCGCAATAACACAAATTTACTCGTTGGTGTTTACTCGAAACAGGGACAGTTGGCGTGCCAGGTAGGGGACTTTACGTGTCACGACATTAACATCAGGCCACGGATGGCTAGTCACGGCATCAGCTAGGTCCCGGACGCACACGTGCGCTTCGAGGACCTGGACTTCATCATCACGGTGGGAGGAGACTTGGCATTGGCTCACGCCGCCATTCAACCTCCCTCCCTCCATCGGCCTCGACACAGTCGACGAGGTGGTTGAGGAGCTGCAGCTGCATGCACCGAGGGCCTGCGCCCTTGGAAACAACCAGCTCCTCGACTACGGGAGGCTTGAGTGCCAGCTCCGTGTCTTCCTAGGATCCCAACCGTCTCGGGAGGACCTGCGCCGCATCACCTTCTCTTACGCGAACGACATGGCGCGGCTCGCCGGAGGGGAACCCCTCTCTCTAGAACACCTCATCCGGAGCGCCCCGACAGTGCTCTCGTTCGGTCTCCGCAACGCCACGGAGACCGTTAGCCCTCTTGTGGCGCAAGACATGATTCCACCTCCCATGAATGACAAATTCATGGGGTTAATCGAACATGTCATGGAATCTTTCCACGACCTCCTCGCAGAGGAGCCAGAGTCGCCCTTTGGCTCTGACTCTAGTAGGGGAAGTAATCACCCCTCTCACAAATACTTTATGATAGGTACCCTTGAGGGACACGTCGAAAGCATCCACAAGGAGGAGGCTACCCCAACAAACGACCTCGATGACAAGGCCAGGGGGGAGACAGTAGCCCCACCATGCATGCGGGTGGAGCAGCTGAAAGCCCGACACCAAGAGCTCGAGGAAGCGTAGCTCTAGCTTGGGTAGGAGCGCGCAGAGCTCGATTGAGAGATCGAGCGCCATGGAGACGGCGAGCGCGCACGCGCCATGGCCCGCGACGTGAACCGAAGGATCATCGTGGATGATGAAACCCTCCCTCTCTTCGTCTAGGCGAGCCAGAACATCACCGCTGTGGTGGCCTTGCTCCATGGTCTTCCAGAGGCTGCGACGCCCAAGGATCGTCGGGACCACCGTGAGATTCGCGCGCTGCTCGAGCATGCGGCGGCGCAGCAGTCCAAGAGCTCGTTGTCTCGGCGACGCGAGCTTGATGCCAGCCAACACACCCTCTCCGAGTGACCCGGCAGGGACGCGTCGATCCACTAGGCGCCACAAGGCGGTAGGCAGCGCGCCATGGTCCCGATGCATCAGCGTCTCGGCCGCAACCGTGACTCACGTGACACCCTCGATGCTCGCAGGCGTACCCACGACAACCCAAGAGAGGTAGCTAGCCATGGCTATCACCCTCGTCGTGGCAGACGCTACGACAGCGGCGAGGATTGAAGCTCGAGCTCTGGCCTGCCGAGGCCTCAGGCCTTTGGTCGACACATCCTCAATGCTGCCTTCCCGCCAAGGTACCGACCACCAACCAACATCCTGAAGTACTCTAGGGAAACAAACGCCGGACTATGGCTCAAGGATTATTGGTTGCCTGCCAAGCCGGTGATGCGGATAATGACGATTTCATTATCCGCAACCTTCCATTGTTCTTGGCCAATTTGGCACGAACAATGTTGGAACACCTGCCGTCCAACAGAATCCAGAGTTGGGCGGACCTGAAGGAGATCTTCGTGGGGAACTTCTAGGACACATACAAGCACCCTAGGAACCCATGGGACCTCAAGAACTGCCGACAGAAGGCCGGTGAAACCCTACGTGGGTACATCCGATATTTCTCCCGGCAGTGCAATGAGCTACCTAACGTCGCCAACATCGACGTTATAGGAGCTTTCCTGTCCGTGACCACCTGCGAGTCTTTGGTTCACAAGCTGGGATGTAAGGGCCCATGAACCACCAAGGAACTCCTGGACATCGCCACCAGCCACGCCTCGGGCGAAGAAGCGGTCGGAGCGATCTTTGACCGCCTCAAAGGCAAGGCAAGATGGGATGAGGATGCCGGCGAAGGCGCCTCCAATCATCCCGCCAAGAAGAAAAATAAGCAGCAGCGCTAGGGCTCGCTCGTAGCCGCCGCAGACCACAGGGGTGGTCGAAAGCCCACGGAGGGCACTCCGAACCACTTTGAGAAACTGCTCGAGGGACCATGCCCGAACCATGCCTTTCCTGTTAAGCATATGTACAAAGACTGCGGCCTCATGAAGCTGTTCTTGTCTGGAGGCTCGAACAAAGGGGAGCACAAGAAGGACCCTAACCCAACCACGGACG